AAGTAGTACAAGAACACTAAAAAAATTAAAATTCAAACACAATTAAAAGAAAAGTTAAATACAATGCGGCTTAGTAAGGCTAATGTACAAATAAAAATATTCAGTGATTTTCAGATATGAAAAATAATATATATATATATATGTGTGTGTGATATACATACAGTTGCTGGGCCCTTTCAAATTACAGGCCCCAGACATTTGCCTTATCTGTGTATTGGTTTAGTTAATCTTGCACTATTTATGGTGCTGCCTTGAAGTGTCACCATCAGTGGAATCTTGAAGTGATGTTAAATTAAATTAATTTCTATATACAGTCAAAAGTCGTTAATCCGGACTCGTCGGGACTTCGGCGATTCCGGATTATAGATCATCAGTTTAAATCTTGTAAGATGGCACGCAGAAATTCTAAAATTAAAAATATGAAACTGTAATTTATGAAATAAAGAACAATTATGATCTAAACGGTATCAAAATTTACAAAAAAAAGCTTAATATTTATTTGTTTACTTTATTAAACATTTCTTTCAATGCAAATTGTTTAAGTTGCTTCATTTTATGTGATAATACTTTCTCTTTAATTCTATAAACAGACATAATTTCTTGTTCAAAGTTCCGCTGTTCAAGTCCCGTTAATTGCTGTGCCGAGAATACCGACTAACTTGTCAATCGAAATTTTTTCATTTTCACTAACCTCTCTGTCACATTCTTCATGTCTTTATCCATTTTTTGCAGCAATTCCACTTTTTGTTAGATGGACAACGAAACACACTTTCGTTTTGTACGATTCTTTGGGAGCTCCAGAATCGGAAATTCTATTTGACATAATCGAAAGTTCAAGTTTACTTTTATAAAATTGCTCTTACAGTCTGCAAAAAATAATAAGCCTGATCCAATTCGAATATTAAGGAACAATGCAATCACCAATATTAACTGAAATAGATAATTAGATAATTTTAGCTTATACCGTCCGTTATACATAAAACGCACACGTGAAAACGTATTCTGCGCTTGCGCACACGCATATGCGCAGTCATAAAAGGTCTTACGCGCACGTGTAAATGCCTATGCGCATGTGTCAACGCGGCGTATGAGCAGAAAGTTTTTAGCTTTGAGGTCCGAATTATAGATCATTCCGGATTATAAGTGTCCGAATTAACGACTTTTGACTGTATACCATAATTCTTCAAGCATTTTGTTGTGGCTTTTCTCAAGTTAACACAAAATTTAACTGCATCTTTGCCATATAGTCAAATCTATAGATATAAACCGTATTTGCCGCCGTATAAGATGCACTTTTCTCCTTTGAAAATAAATCTGAAAAACGGGATGTGTCTTATACATTAATACTCAGTTTTTTATTATATGGAAATTTTTTCTTCTTTCCTTGTGGAATGTGGGAATATTACAATTATGTAGAGTTCAGTGAATGCGCAAGCGCTGCCATCGACAATCACAGCTGGGTTTGTTTAAACTTTCCAATTTTTGTGAATGACTTTTCAGTGTGTGAAATTTCTACTGTTCAATTTTCTTAAATTTGTTGGCAAGTTATGGCTCATAAACAATGTTCACATTACTATAAGATAGCATGCAACCTACGTGTGATTGTGTATGCTAAAGAGGTACTTTTCCGTTTCGCCGGCGCAAATCTCGCCAAGCAGACTTTGTTGGCGACAACATACAGTATACACATAAAAAATGTTAATTCTAAGAATTTTTTTTTATTTTGAAGGCATAAACATTTTAATATGGTTTAAAATTTTGTAAAAAGCCAATAAATAAAGACAATAAATTTGTAAAAAGACATTAATTTAAGAATTTACTATGATTTCATGGTTCAATATCCTGATTCGATCGCCGGTTCGTATCACGTGACCCCAAGTGATCTCATCTCACGTAAACTACGCTACTAAAATTTAATTCGCTCAGTAATTATCTACATTAATTTCAAGTTAAATCTTAATTTGGAATACAAGTTTAAATGCAAGAATTATTTCAATTCGTACGAATAGCTTACTCAGAAATTATGTAAAACCGCAGTGCTTTACTTCGCTAGTGCATTCTCATTAGAATTGATGAATTTAACACTTGATTTCGCCTTCGGATGAGCGGTGTAAATGCGTTCTAATTGACTTAGAACCTAATTGACTTATTACCGTGAATTGTCTTAGGGGATAAAATTTAAATATCGTGTAAAAATTCTATATTATTGTATGCCAGTATTGAAAGAAACAATCTGATAAGAAATGGCTTCAACTGTTTTGAAACTGAGGCGTAAAAGGTTACCAACAAAGATATTCCGTCTGGCATCAGTTAAACCATTATTGGCGACTTTATCGTTTGCGCCGTCAAAACGGAAAAGTACCGCTAAAGAACATGGAAACAGGTTACAGAGCATATTTTGTTGTATGAGGACTCAGATGCTGATTTAGAAGAGGTTTCAAGTAACTCTTCATTTACTTCTGGAGATGAGTGTGCCAACTGGATCGTCAAGTGCACCGCAAGAGTCTCGTAGTATATCGCGATTAGTGCATTGTCGAGAGAGTGTACTGAGCTCCGGGAATGACTGAACTGAAGAGTCGGGAGCTGTGCTCGTGTGTCATTGAGTGCATCGCGAGTTGCAGCGTGGAGAGTCTCGAGAGTATGTGAAATTCCGAGAATGACCGAGCAGTATCGGGAGCTTTGCAGTGAAGCTGTCTCCATCGTTATTGCCGGACAGTATGAAGGCTGTGTCACTGATTGTTCCAGCGTGTTTAGTGTAGATGTTCGATGACTCTAAAATGTGTTATTGGAGCTGTCCTGATTAATATTGGCTAAGTAAAGTGTGTTTCGATATTTCATCAAGTGTCGTCATTATTCACTCCAAATCCACACGAACCCCATACGGACATAAAGGAAGAAAATAACGTAACAACAGGTGTCAGAAGAGAAAAATGTAACAGTATTACTTTGCATTTGTATTACTTTGTATTTAAAATACTGTAAATTCATTATAATGATCAGTAATAAAGTTTTATCCGTAAAAAATATGTATAAAAAACGGAGTGCGTCTTGTATGCTGGAAAATATGGTATGTCATACATAGATATCTTTCTAAACCTGACCAAACAGTAAAGACCATTGGTGTCCTACTGCAGGTTCAAACTTATTGATTTATAACCTTAGAAAATTTCATCCAGGCTCTCATGTATAATATTGAGAAAGAGAAATAAGAGTCAGGCTTTAAATTTGTCCTTTGATATGAAACTTAAATTGAGAAATTCAAAATTAAGTAACTATAAATGACATGAAAGAGCAAATCAAATATAGTTTTCCATATATCTGTGACAAAATTTTTGTGTAATACTTTTGTTTTTAGAACACTATTTTGATAACATTAAATTTGGCGAGGCAAATTATAAGTTTTGAAAGTTGTGGACGCATCATATTCTATATGACTGTGCTTTTCAATGCAGAAAATTAACTGATTTGGAAACAATATACATACTCTTTGAAATGTTTTATTCCTGTTTTACTTTTTAAAACAATATTCTAAACTATGGTTTTGAAAAGTATTTATACTTTTCAGAACCATAATTATAGAGATATAGCTTTGTTACTGAATAATCATATATGGGTAATTTAATAGAAAGTTTACTACCATTTCTAAGAAAAAAATTTGGAATTAATTTTTTAAAAACTTTATTAGCGGTGTTTTCAAAATTTTATATGTTCTTGATTTTAGATTTTTTTGAGAAATGAGATATCAAGAATTTTACCCTTTCTCAAAAGAAAATATCGCCAAGCACAAATTATGCAAACTGATTTCTGGAAAATTAAATACAGTCAAAAGTCTTTAATCCGGACTCGTCGGGACTTCGGCGATTCTGGATTATCGGTTTTTCCAGATTATAGATCATCAATTTAAATCTGGTAAGATGGCATGCAGAAATTATAAAACAAAAGATATGAAACCGTAATTTATGAAATAAAGAGCAATTATGATCTAAAGAGTATCAAAATTTACAAAAAAAAAAAAAAAAAAAAAAAGCTTAATATTTATTTCTTTACTTTATTAAACATTTCTTTCAACGCACGCATGTGTAAAGCATACATTACGCATAGTTGAAATTAGAAAATTTCAACCAGAAAACTAGTTGATGTGTATTTGTGATATTTATAATGACGAGGAATTTGATTTAAATCATGTCAGACAGAGTACATCGAGATGAAATACTACATTTAGTAAGGAATTATAAGCCAAATAAAATAAAAACATCTGCCTTGAAGATAAGGAGAGTAGTGCTGACAGATCAACTTCCAGTTCATTGCGTGCCGTGACGTTCCCTCCCCCCTCCGCAAAACAGCGTGAAATTGATAAACAGATTTCGGAATGATCAGAGAAACAAAGAATATGCCTTTATCCATTTTTTGCAGCAATTCCACTTTTGGTTTGATGGACGTCGAAACATGCTTTCGCTTTGTAGATCCTTTGGCAGCTCCAGAATCGAGAATTCTTTTTGACATAAAGTTCAAGCTTACTTTTATAAAATTGCTCTAACAGTCTGCAAAAAATAATAAGCAGAATCCAATTAGAAGATTAAGGAACAATGCAATCTGCAGCATTAACTGAAATAGATAATTAGATAATTTTAACTTAGCTTACACCATCCCTTATACATTAACCGCCCATGCGTAAACATATTGTGCACATGCGTAAAGGTATTATGCACTTGCGGAAATGCATATGCGAGTGCGTGAATGCATTATGAGTTGACGCATGCGCAGAAATATTATTATAGATTATAGATCATTCCGGATTATGGACATCCGGATTAAAGAATTTTGACTGTATAGCTTATTTGCAATGCATTTGTTGTCTGTTAGAGTGTAAAAGTGAAGCACTTGAAACTCACATACTTATATGTATGACTTTTTATATCATATATTAAAAGTTATGTATGTTTATAATATGCAGCAATTGCAGTATGTTTTTTTTTCTTAACATATTTGTTTATTTTCAGCCCATTTATTCGGCCAAAATGCTTTAAGATGCATGAATCTACTGCTGAAGTAAGTGAAAATTCTTCATTTGTCTTTGTACTGAGAGATGGTCTTTATTTAAAGTTATTTTAATAAATTTCAAGTTTTTGAGTCATTTTCCAATTTTAAGTCTTACACAAGTAAGATTTTGGAACTATTATGGCATGTGTTATATGTGCAGGATATTCAATTATAGTGGTACCTCGACATACAAGTTTAATTCGTTCCCTAATTTTGCTTGTATGTCAAATTGCTCGTATCTCAAAGCAATTTTCCCCACTGAAATTAATTGAAATGCCATTAATCCATTCCAGCTCCCCAAACACCAACTCTCAGTTGTTTTAAGTGTTTTTGAATAAGAAAAATGTTTTTTACAAGAAGAAACATTTATTTATAAGTAACAAATACATATTCTAATAAAACATAATTAAAAGAAAAAGTGAAGTGCTTACGGAAGCGATTAATTTTTGTCACTGGTCTTCGCTTTTTTCGTCACGCTTTGCTCATTTTGACCTGCAGATCGCTTAAAAAAAACTGACCAAGGAGGTTGGTTTCTTCCTTCCTTTCAGGATATAGAGGAAATGAGTTAGACAAGTTTCGTTGAACAACTCTGATGCACAACTTTTTTGGGGTGATTTTTATGCACGAACTCTACAACTTTCTCCCACATTCCCAAGATCTCCTTTATATCTCTTGTAGGGATAACCTCCTCCTCTGGCTCCTCTTCAAAACTAATTTTTCGTTGAACCACCGTATGCTGCTGCCAATGTAGATCGTGTAACTCCTCGGTTGTCAGCTCTGTAACGTCAGGACAGGTGAAAGAAAGACAGGTTGTCTTTTAAATTATTTATTTGATAAACTAAAATAGATTTCTTGATTAAAACATAAAAATAAACTGATCATTACAGCTCTAAATCATACAATATCCGCTAACGCAGATTGGACGCAAAAAAGCGTCCTTTTTACTGTAGTTACAGCATAAAAAAAAACTATTGTTCTACAGAAACCACTGGCGTGGTTTTGAACGTAAAAGATGCGTCCTGTCACCTCAAAATCACATGAAGAACTCTTACACAAAGATTTCACTAGTTTTGTTATCTGCAAAGAGAAACATAATTAGTTCCTTGTGTCTGGAAACTCCCAGAGGGTTTTATCTGCAGTCCTGCTTTTGCAGGTATGGTCCATTTCGTCCGCGAACAAACAGGAAGTTATACTTCAGCACCTGTGCCCGCGGAGTGCTAGTAGCTGTATTGTCACAACCCCTTTTCTCCCCGGGGGTCGGTGGTTTTCAGAACTATAATTCAGGGTAGCTACCACAGCAAGTTTTCAAGGTAAACTAATTAGCAGTTATTAGCATTAATACATTTTACAACAACACTGGGCTAAGTACCAAGGATAAACATAACAAGAACTATATTGAGGCCAGTAAGAAAACATATAATCAACATAATACTGAGAACTAAATTATACACATACAAATAAAGAACGTATAGTTTTTGGAAAAATGTAATATGCAATATACAGTCCTAAGTTTAATATTAATTATATATCTAGCCAGGGCTGAAAAGGGAAACCCTTGCAGATTTTTAATTTTCCGTTTGTCTGATAAACTCTCAATGGTAACCCAACTACCTGGATGAGAACTACTACATTTGACCTCAAAATAAACATGTACATTTAATTGGGCTTTAACATCCAGAAAAAAACCACTTCATTACAAGTTGGATTTACATTCATTCATGAAGTAGCTTTATTTAATCCCCTTTGACCCTTCAGTATCAGGCACTAGTATAGATAAAACTGATAAACTAAATGGGGAGATTCTTCTACTTTCCTTGGTAAATTTTACACTACTAGGTGTCTTGGGCAATTCTCCTACGGAATTTCTAGGCATTCGCAAACCTCCCGAGTCTGGTTGGTACGAAACGTCATTTAGCTTATCTACAGTTTCTTGTTCGTGCCAAACTGAAAAGGTAATTCTTAACTTGTACACCTTTCCCAAAGAGTTACTGTGATCGTTTAACGCGACTAAGTCACAAGATGGCTTTACAACGTCACTTTTCTTTTGTAGGTCCGCTATAAAAGAATATTTTATTGTAGGCAGTGATAGTTCATTCACTTTCGTTTCAGGCAGAAAGAAATTGGTTTTCTCTATCCTTTGTGTTTGAGACAAGACTTTACCCCTTTCTATAATGAGGGGAGAAACTTCGCTTGAGGGTTCGAGTTCGCCGCGTTCAGACTCCAGTGGACAACTTTTCTCCATTTCATTCTTTGATTGACTTGGAGCTTGAATACCTGTTTTCACCTGAAAGAAAAGTTTATCGTGTTGATCTACGGCTAATTTTTCAGCGGTTCTGTTTCCTAACAGATAATGTTCCAATTCATTTCGAGTGACCGCTACTTTTGTTGTTACTTGGCCAAAAGTTCCTTCTATTGTAACGTTTGCTAAGGGTACACAAATTGGGGCCTCATCAAACGGGTGTTTTACCCAAACAGTCTCGCCCGTCAGCATCGAAGGAGTGAGAGATATTTCTTGCAAATTACGTCAATGCATGACCCGGTATCTCTCTAAAACTGGAAGATCAAAACCGTTCACTTTAGCCATCGTTAGATAAGGGGCTAAACAATCTTCTTTAATCTCCTGGACTCTATTTACAATAAACGGAGTTTTGAGATCCCTTTTAATTTCTGGACATTGAGGCCTTAAGTGTTGGGTTGACCCACAAGAATAACACTTAATTGGTCTTCTCATATCAAATTGACGCTCATCCTGATTCCGGAGATGTTCCTTTCTGTCAGAGGCATATCTGTCTTCCCTTCCAGACTGGTGATACTTTTTCGAATCCCTCAAATTTAAATTGTTTTTCCCCTTTGTGACTCCGATCTATGAACAGGAGAGATCTTCTTCCGGGGTTCACACACATTTTCATATTCTTCTAGCATTTCCGCTAATTTCTCTGGAGTCGTTATCTTCGACCATTCGTCAATAAAATGTTGCCGCACTTCGGCATTTACACGATGCTTCATTTGGTTCGTTATCATGAGCTCCTTTAAAAGTTCAAAATCCGTAACTTCCAAACCTGCAATCCATTCTTCAAAATAATTCCTTAATTCAAAGGCAAAATCTCTCCAAGTGGTTTGGGGGTGTTTATGAGATTGCACGAATTTGATGCGAAATTTTTCTGGGCTAAGTTTGAACCTTTTAAGCAGTATCCCTTTTATATAAGCGTAATCATAAGCCTGCTGTTCTGGTTCTCGCATAATCAGCTGAACTATGTCAGTTGGCAAAATTGTCAATAAAACCGAAACCCATTCTGATTGGTGAAGATTCGCACGCTTTGCTTGGCGCTCAAACATGACTAGATACAAACTGATATCGTTCTCTTCAGGATCAAATTATGGCATCATTTTTTTAGGTCGTATCGGTTTTTTTTAGTCCATTTTCTTCATTCCCACCATTTCCAGAGTCATTTCCATTAGCGGCTAGTAAACGTAACTTGGATAATTCAAATTCCTTTATCTCTTCTAATTCTATCCTTTCTTCTTTCTTCTATTCTTTTTCTTTTTTCTTCTCTCCTAATTCTTTCTTGCCTTTCTTCTTCTTCTCTTCTAATTCTTTCTTGCTCCTTTTTTTCTTCTCTCCTAATTCTTTCTTGCCTTTCTTCTTCTTCTCTTCTAATTCTTTCTTGCTCCTTTTTTTCTTCTCTCCTAATTCTTTTTTGCCTTTCTTCTTCTTCTCTTCTAATTCTTTTTTGCTCCTTTTTTTCTCTCTCAAGCCTCGTTGAAGTGATATTTTCTAACAGGCCTTTCACTAGTTCCTCCTCATAGGATTCATTTCCCATAATCAGCTGTCTTAAATCCAATATCCTAAGTTCAGGGCTAACTTTTTCCCCTAACTCTTCAGCCAAGGATTTAAGATCCTCTTTCTTAACTTTTGCTAAGAATGCCATGATATAACCAAAATTATGATCCTAACAATTTTAGCTTCCTCATACTACAGATACATACAATTGATTTAAACAGATATTTTCACAAGAGAGAGTAAAAATTAACTTTTATAATTTTTTTCACAACCTATTTTACAGATGTTAGACAAAACAAGACAGTTTACACTATAATATGCACATTATGCATTCAAAAATAAAACAAAAAATTGTCTACTCGAGGACGTATGAAACTTCAAATAATATTATCCTCTGAAAAGCTTTAAATTCAGTTGTGTAAAACACACTTGCTTATGATAATACAATATACTTTCCTCAAAATTTGGGATATGTTAAAATATGCATTCAGAAATACAATAAATTACCCCATACCTATCCATATGCTAGTAATTAACATTAATATGACAACAGTTAAAAGGAAAGATACTGGGGGTTTTATCATTTCCCTTTTACTCCTTCAATAGAAAAAAAAAATTCTCAGTTCTTACACAAATAAAAGTTTGACACACCTTAATTGAAATTCTAATATTTATAACATTCAAAATGTCTTAGAAATGATATGACAGAATGCCACCTAACATTAAAACCTTCAAGTTACAGTAATTCTACTCCTTTACACAATCCAATATATAAGTTTAATTTAAGCACAACACATTAACATTTCAGATATTAAAAAGAAATCTATTAACACAGGTTTAAATTCTAAATTTTATACTTTCTTATTGTAACATAAAACCCAAAAAGCACATTTCTTTAAGCTTTACTGGAACAAGTTGACTTAAAACAGTTATGTGAACTTACATACTGATTTACAGAAATAAATTAAATTACTTTACTGCCTCAATATAAAAATCCAAGGTACTTACCCGTCTGGATTGGAGAGTTGAAATGGTTGCAATGCAACTTCGCTTCTCACAATTTAAGATTTTATGGACACTGATGATCCAGGCACCTATAACGCACAGACACAAGATCTGTTGATCTAAATTTTCTCGATCACAAGGGTGATCACCCACATATCACTTTTTCAATACTTTACACATCACAATGATCTGATGATCTTCGGACAATGATTGTCCCACACGC